ATTTAAAATGCCATATTCTGCAGTCTTTGAAAGATATGAAGAATGCCTATCTAACTGAAATATATCTCTATATATCTAGAAAATCTAACTAACATGACTACAAGCTTTACTATCATCGATGATTATCCATTAGCAACCTATATTTCCTAATTATACAGTACATTTTAAAATGAACTACACAATAATAATACCTTAATCAAGATCAAAAATACATATACATATAATAAAATTGACCTTAAAATCCATACCAATGCAAATTATTTACATCTATATCACTCCACAGGATGTGCACCGTGTGCTCATGCCCACACACGGGCACACACACAGGAGGCAGAGGCACGTGGATCTCTGTGAGTTCTAGGCCAGCCTGGTCTACAAAGAGAGTTCCAGAACTGAGGAATCCTGGGGCGTAGGAGGCATGTCAGGACTTTATTAGAAGGGACGAGGTCTCTCAACAGGTCAGTAATGGAATTAATTAGCCGATGTTGAACTCATCCAGCATGGAGAGCATTGGGAATGAAAGACCAAATATTAAGGCCATGGGATGAACCCTGAGGGAGAAGAAAGACAAAGACATAGACACTCACAGACACGGGGATGGGGGGATGGGTGGAGGTAGTGGGTGGTGAAAGGAAAAAGCCAAGAGAATTCCCAGGGGCATTAGATTCTCCCATCTGACCTCTTCAAACAGGAGTCAGCCTCCAACCCCACGTCTTGAAAGGCTGCTGTGGTCTTACCTGTGGGTTTTCTGCATCCTCTCAGGAGCCCCACCCCCACCCCCCGCCAGGACACTCCCCTGTAGTAATGAGGCAAGCAGGCCTGCTTTTCGTCCCGCTCAGCTCCTGCATAGCTAGCTTTACACCCGAAATAACAACACACAAACTGTATTCTTTATAACACTGCCTGGCCCATTAGCTCTAGCCTCTTATTGGCTAATTCTCACATCTTGATTAACCCATTTCTAATAATGTGTGTAGCACCACGAGGTGGTGGCTTACCGGGAAAGATTCTAGCCTACATCCGTCTTGGGTGGAAGAATCATGGCCTCTGCCTCACTGCCTTCTTCATCCCAGCATTCTGTTCAGTCTACTCCACCTATCTAAATTCTGCCCTATCAGGCCAAGCAGTTTTCTTTATTAATTAACCAATGAAAGCAACAGATAGCTAGAAGACACTCCCACATCACTCTCCCTTCCACCCCCGCGCTCGCCCATACAGCCGACCTTCTCTGGGAAACTTCCCTTCCATGGTACTATTCTGTATGCTTTCCAGCTTCCGTGACAGGGCCCTTTTCTCTGTGTGCACATGTGTGTATGTGTGCATTCGTGTGTGTGTGTGTATGTGTGCTCATGTATGTATGGAGGTCAGCCTCTGACATTGTACCCCAGTTGCCATTTATGCTGGTTTGAATAAGAATGACACCCCTCCCCCACCCCCGCCAGAGGCTCACATATTTGAATGTTTGGTCACCAGGGAGTGACACTATTTGGAGGCATTAGGAGGCTTAGGAGGTGTGGCCTTGTTGGAGGTAATGTGTCACTGGGGATGGGTTTTGAGGTTTTAGAAGCCCAAGCAAGACCCTCTCTCTCTCTCTCTCTCTCTCTCTCTCTCTCTCTCTCTCTCCCTCTCTCCCTCCCTCCCTCCCTCTCTTCCAGCAGATCAGGATGTAGCTCTCAGCTACTGCTCGAGGGCATGTATGCTGCTGTGTTCCCTGCCGTGATGAGAATGGACTAACCCCTTGACCATGTGAGCTTTGTTTCATAAGCATTGCCTTGGTCACGCTGTCCCTTCACAGCAGGAGAGCAGCACTAGGAGGTTGTCCTTGTGTTTTGAGATAAGGTCTCGCATAAGTCCAGAGCGCCCTCATTAGGACCGGCTGACTGGCTAGTGAGCCTCAAGGGTTTGCCTGACTCCACTTCCCACCTCTGGGATTATGAGCGTGTGCGATGGCAGTTTTCTCTGTGTTCTGGGGACTCAATCCAGGACCTAGCACTTGTACGGCAAGCAGTTTATCCACCATGCTATCTCCCTAGATCCCCTCCCTGCTGTGAATTCACTGCTTTCTTCTCAAGCCCTCCAAATACAGGCAATGTTCTCCCTGCCCACATCTAGGCTCTGCCGTCTATCCACACAGCCTCTACACTGATAAACTCCGAAAGCGGCATTAGATCCCAGGCTCATCACAGTCACCTAAGTTCAGTGGCTTCAGATCCAAGCACAGCCCCAGAAAGCTGGTGTCTGAGGACATCCTTAGAGATCAACACAATAGTGATTAACTTGAGTCATCATTAGGACAGGCCGAACAAGCAGGCTGAGCCCACAGTAGGATAACAGTCTTAAGTGGCTTCAAGATGTATTATTAACTCTGGCTAATAGTAACTTTGAGGTCCAGCAAAGGTTCCCAGCCGCTCAGAATGTCAGAGATATTTTCATAATGCTCTTTCACCACAGACATCCTGCTGACACTGGCATCCACCCAGTCGCGCTCCAAACTTTAATTGGTTAATATCTTCACAGGCTGCATTTAAAGGGGGGGAGGGGAACCCGAGACCACTCCACTAGCTTATAACTATGTCTTCTTATTACCCCCTCCGAGGGGCTCAGGAGGCCATCTTCTGTTCCCATTGCCTCAGTTGACTCGCTGGGTTTAATCTCTGCTTTTAGCCTCCCTTGCCAACCCCCCACCCCATCCCCACTCCTGTCCACCCTGACCAGCTGGAAGTCTTCCTAGACTTCTCTCTAATCTGATTTTTCTCTGCTTTTCAAAAGCATATACTTTGCTGGCCACAGTGGTGCAGGGCTGTGGTCCCAGAACTTGGGAGGCAGAGGCAGAGGGAGGTTCCCTCTTCTTGGTGACTATGGAGTGTGTCAAATTGACAATAAGAACTACCCAGGACGCATTCTTTCTTGAATATGCCCTGGGGAGAAGAAATTGTGAAGAACAAATAACTAAAGATTGGAGCTGTAGTAAAGGAATTGGGGGGGGGGTGTTCAAAGGTGAGAGTCGCTGGGGTCCATACAGGCAGAGCAGCTTCTGTGTTTGCAGAGCGTACAGCAATCTGCCCTACAAACCCACCTCATGGGTAGCACGGCATGGCGAACGAGGTTCCTTGATTCTAACCTTAATTCTCATATCACGGCACATAGTAAATATATCTATATATCCATATCCATATATATGGGGCTACAGAGTAAAGACGGGGCTGCAGCAGAGTCCAAGAGGCTTCGGGCTGCTGAAGGAACACTGATAAGATAGCAAATCAGACCAGTGCCTGGCAGGGCTAATAAATTTTGAAACCCGGTTCCCTTGAAATGATTTTAGTATGCTTGTGTGCCCTTGATGTGATTTTAGTATCTTTGTGTGCCCTCCCCACCTCGATCTGCCCTGATAAACCCATAGTCTATTTTCTTCTCCAGGAACAAGCTTTGTATCAGTCGTGCTGGATGGGTGACCGCCGAGAGACGGGGCCCTTTCTCTGGGTCTACCCAGTGCAATCTCCTTCTCCTGCCCTAGAATGGAGTCAAAGGCTGCTTAGGAAAGTTGTCTCCCAGGGCAATGTACCACCTGGAAAACCCCACTGCCTTATACAATGTGCAGTAACCCATGTATTTCTACATTCATCAGTCGATCACCTAGCGCTGCTTGAGTTAAAGCCATGCCTAGACTTACAGCCACATGAAGGGAAGAACCTTTTACTGCTGTGCTGCGTACAAAGACAACAGTGCACTTGCCAGACAGATAATTCAGCCATGCACTCACCTGGTCACCAGTTCCATTCCAGGCACCGGAAAAGAAAAAAGAAAAAAAATCATTTTTATTTATTTCCTTGTTTGTTTTATAAAGAACACAGGCAAACACACAGTCCCAGACAAGGCTGATCCTTTTCCAGGGAGTTAGGAATGAAAAGTTCACAGCAAAGATGTCTGCTTTAGATTTACTGAACATAAAGTTTGCCATATCCTTAGAGGGAGGTAACTCCCCTCAACAAAAACACTCTTGAGTAGTCAGTCAGCTGGAGCCTAACCTGAGGCTCCACACAGAAATCCAGCCAAAACATGTGCGCGCGCGTGCGTGTGCGTGTGTGTGTGTGTGTGTGTAGGGCAGGGAAGTGACCAGGCAATTTCACATCAGAAAACTGTGCGAACCAGAGGACACAAACTAAGAAAGTGAGCTACCCAACCTGAGAGCCCATCCCAGGGCTCAGATGGCGGAAGGAGAGAACCCACTCCTGCAAGTTCTCCACAGTGCGTGCCCAACCCTACACAAAATTTATTACATTTATTTAAATGTGATTTTAAAAAGAAGTAGAGGAATTGGTCATTTGAAAGTAGCCTGAGGGTGGAGAGAACACGATAGACAAGAGCCACAACTCTGGAAAAAATCCAACCTATTCCTTACCATCCCAAAATACATCTTAAAACTTCCACACTCGGAGGCCAGACCCTGGTGCCCTGTGTGACTGGGGAGGGGGAAGCGGATAGCCAGGGCTTCTCAGCAAGGAGCAGGGAGGAAATGGATCAAAGGTGCTGTCAGATCCGCCCGTCTGTCTTCCCCTCCTGCAACACAAATGCGTGCTCATCCCCGGTCCTCCGCCCCGGCTGCCTCTGCCTGCGGGGCCAGTCGCTGATGCAATCCGCAGCAGAGCGCGCCCAGCTCTCCATCTTCCGTGCTCAGAGACCCCGAGCGCCACGTGTCGCCGCGCCGCAGCGGGAGGAGACGCAGACCTGCACCCAGGAGCTGGAGGCACCACACGGCCACGAGCAATGAAGGTAAGTGTCTGACTGAAGCTCCTGCTGGAATGCAGCCCCCACCCCCCCCACCCACACCCCGGGACATCGCGGACATAGAGAGGAGGATGGAAGGACAAGCTTGCTTTGTTCCCCGTCCTGGGCCACCAGGCGTGGGGACCTGGACTCGTTTCTGCCCGCAGATGCTTCCTCTCCGGTTCGTGCCTGGGGTCTGTGGGTACGGCACCCAGCTTCAGAGGATGCCACAGCGCCTGTCCCACATGCTCCCAAGGCGGGAAGAAAGACGGTGCTTTTGCGTTTGAGCTGCCGCCCAGAGAGGGGGTTTGCGGAGGATGCTCTGGGGTGCTCTCCTGGTGGGTGTAAAGGAAGTGGGAGAAGTACCCTCTTAGCTTGAGGGCAGCTCACCTTTTCGGTTCCAGATTCCACGTGGGAGTTACAGCTCACTTGAGCTTCAGGGCAGCCCGAAGGACTGGGGCGTCCCGCGTTGTGCTCTAACGCTAATGGGAGGTAGCTATCCTAGTCACCAGCCAGAGGCGTTTAAGGCTGTTTTCCAGGGCTCTGACTCTAGGAAAAGCTGCGGGATCTGAAAGGTGCCCCCTTCTAAGGGAAATGATACTCAGTTGGGTGTGCTGTTTTCTAGCTTCCGGGAAGGAAGATTCCAGCTATAGAATGTGGGCTTTTGGGAGCAGCAGAGAGCGGCCACGTTTCAGTTTCTGAAACGTGGAGGAGAGAGTTAGAGACGCAGACTGCTCAAGCCTCTCTGGGCGGTATCCCCGCTTCTCCATTCATACCGTGTCTTCCCTTGCCTCCATCCCTGACAGACACGGGTGATGGGTGGTTTGTTTTTTCTTCTTTGACATCTCTACCTCATTTCACTAAATCCTATGCATTTACTATTTTTATAGACGTGCATTTAATGTATCCACTATCTCTCTTAGTAGCTCATTCTGTACCTTAAAATATAAATTGCCAAATATAAATTAAAACATAAGTTGCCAAACTCCACGGGTGGGCAGTTTGTGTATAGAGAAGAGCTTACACGCTGAAGGTCACAAGCCCCAGCTGTGGCCCCTCTGGCGAGGCTCAACGCCGTGTACTAACAAAGGGAGTCTAACCTAGGATGGTACTGCCTTGTCGGGAAGTGGGGGAGGGGAGAGCGCGTCTCAACTTAATCTGCTTTCTGAGCCCCCAAGACAAGATGGAGAACTTAAAAAATTGTCTCTCTGAACCAGGCTTGGAGGTAGTCCCCGTGTCATCCGGGGTTATAAAGCAGCCACCCTGGGCTACAGGAGATCAAGCCTGGGCTATAGGAGACCAACGAAAACAGAGAAAACAGTCTGTGTGTGAAAACTAGTCTCAGCTCATTAAATTCTGAAGTTTATATATTTGGAAGGGGTTGGAACCCTTTGGAAGGCAGTGAAAAACAGCCCTATGGCCCTAGCTCTGGCTTCCCGGAGTACCTGTGACTCATTGGTTGTTCTCCTAACTGTAGGTTTTATTGTTTCTCATGTGTGTCCACGAGGGAACTGCCTGGAAGCTGTTTCCAACTAGAGAAAGGACTATTCAGACCTTACTTCAGTGCATAAATGAGGAAGCTGCCTGGGCCTTCAGGTTATGCCTTTTGGGGTTTCAGGCTCCAGGCTCCACAGAGAGCCTTTTGTGGAGGTGTCAAGGGATGCCTGGCTAGAGTTTCCACTATTCCTCCAAAGTCTGCTAACCATATTCTTTATTAATTTAAAAAGATTTATTTTTATGCGTGTGGGTGTTTTGGTGTATCTGCGCACCACACACATGCCAGAAGCGGGGCATCAGATCCCTCTGGAACCCCAGTTCTGAATCACCATATAGATTCTGGGAATCGAGCCCAGGTCTTCGGTGTTCTTCATCACGGATCTCTCCAGGCCTGAGAGGGCAGCACGAGAGAGTCTGTTCTCTCCGCCCACCGTGGGAGTCACCAGGCCAGAACTGAAGAGATGGGACTTGGTAGCAAGCGCCTTTGCTCATGGAGCAGGTTCACTGACCCCACTGCCTTTTGTGTGTATGTGTTTGATGTGTGTTGGTGTCTGCATGTTTATGTATAAGTGCAGGCCTACACAAGCTACCATGCATGTGTGGAGGTCAGAGGGCAACCGTTGGAGCTCCTTGCCCTTCCTTGTTCGAGACAGTCTTTGTTGTGAGCCATGAGTAAGCCAGGGAAGCTGGCCTGTGAGCTCCGAGGAAGTGTACTTCCTCCTCGCTTGACATTGCTGATCTCTGGGGATTTGAACTCAGGTCCTCACGGCTGTGTCTTACTCACTGAACAACCCTCCTCCCACAATCCCTTTAAATATGTAATGGCTTCAGGGGCTGTTCAGCGCATGCTAGGGGCATGCCTGTGGGACCTGTGTGTTAGATGTCATTGTCCCAGCTCCCCGTACCCTCTGTGGACACGACTTTCCCAGCAAGCATGGGAGAATCTAGCCGACCCACTCACTTCTCGGCTGTATCTGTGGGCAGCCTTGGCAAGGTCACTTTATCTCTTGAAAAGCTGCTCAGAATGTTTAATACAGCAAAATAACAACATCCCTCCTGCTGGGTCTCAAAAGCGCAGCTGGTAAGAAAGTGCTTATTCAGTCTAGCCTGAAGAAACTGGTGCTGTTTAAATCAACAGAGACGTAAGTGAGGACTGCGGCCCAACGTGAAAAATCATTTCCGGGTTGGAGAGACGGTTAAGAGCCCCGAAGTTTGGCTCCCTCCTTTCCTGTACCCCCAGTTCCAGGGAGTCTGCTGCCCTCTGGCCTCCACGAGCTCGCGAGCTGAAGTCCACGCTCAGACGCGCAGAAAATAAACCCGAAGTTAGGGTGTAGGGTGTACTGGTCCACAGGTGTGACTCAGACCTCATCGAAGTCCTCGTCTCGTGTGAACATGACATCAAGGCAGAGCTCTGGCCACCGGTCAGGCGCCAGCGTCCATTTTACCACTGCCTAAGTAATTCTTTGGACTCAGTCACTGAATTACGTTACCTCTGGAATGGAATGTTTATGTCCTTAAAACAGCTTAAAAATTAGACCATCTCACCTGCAATGGCACGGTGTGTCTCACAGGCATTCTTCATCAGATAGGCCTCGACTTTCAGGTGGAAAATAGCTTACCTAGAACGTTTGTCTAGTGTTCAGTGGTTATGGGAAAGGGGTGTGTGTGTGTGTGTGTGTGTGTGTGTGTAGTTTTTCGAGACAGGGTTTCTGTAGGAGACAGGGCAGTTTGCTGCACACCTGCCAAGACAGGTTCTATAGGCCAACAGGAAGGTTAGGCCTGAGTCTCAGTTTGCCCTAAGGCAATACCTGGTTCCAAGAAAGACCACAAGCTGGGACCACCCATGTTCCACCCAGGAACAGACCATCCCCATGAAATTCCTAACGTTCCAACTATTGTAAATAGGATCACTTGATGTCCAGGACACGCCCATCCCCTTTTGGCCAGGGCACCCCTAGACAAATGTCAGCATAACAGGGATCCTGAACCTTAAAAATCCCTCTGCTATTAAAAAACCCCACCCTAAATGTGCTCAGGGCTCTTTGATTGTGCCAATATGTCTGGCACATGGAGAATCTGAGTTTGCAAACTTGTGTAAGAATAAAGACTCTTTGCTTTTACATACAGGACTTGATCTCCTTGTTGATATTTGGGGGACTCTATGAATCTGGGTATAACAGTTTTCTCTGTGTAGTCCTGGATCCTGGAACTCACTCTGTAGACCAGACTGATCTTGAACTCACAGAGATCCACCTGCCTCTGCCTCCCTAGTGCTGGGATTAAAGGCATGAGCTACCAACTCGGCTGATATGTTTTTTAAGAAAAGACTTTAACTCTTACTTTTAAAAGATTTATTTTATTTTTTAAGTGCGTGTGTGCTATAAAAGGCCAGAACGGGAATTACATATGGTTGTGAACAGCCTGCTATGGGCGCTGGGACTGAACTCAGGTCTCCTGGAAGGGTAGGAAGTGCTTTATAGCTTTTTACCACTGAGCCATCTCTCCAGGCCCTATTTTTATAAAACAATTTTACTGGATCTTGAACTTGAGATCCCACTACCACTGAGTGCTAGATTGTCATGTAGTGTGGGATTACCATGTAGTGTGGAGTTACCACATAGTGTGGGGTTATACTAAAAAGTGGGATTGAAAACTATGAACTTGCTATATATTAAAAATAACCTTAATTAAAAAAAACACAAGCTCATTTATTCTTTATTTTCATGTATACACTTGAATGTTTGATCAGTTGGCATTAACTGTCTCCTATGTAGTGTGTGTGTATTTGTTATTTTGGCCTTACCTGGATGTCTGCCTTTGGAAGCCTTGTTTGGTTTTGGTTCTTTGAGACAGTCTCATGTAGGCTAGGTTAGGGTGTAACTCACCATGGAGCTCTCTATGGGGGCTGGAGGCAGGCATTGCAAGCCCCTGGCACACTGGTCAGGAATTCTGATTTGTTATGAGTGTAAATAATGCCTGCTTGGGTGCCCACCCAAAGAAGCCCTGGTTGTTAACAAAGAGACACAACTGAGACACAGTTGGCCATGATGGATCTGCACAGAGCAGTCATTGAGTGGTTCTTTACGGTCCATCACCACACAGAAGGGGGGATCTCTGCCAAGTGTGTTCATGTCTGGTTATCTGGTGGATGTAGAGGGAGCTGCGGGCTGCGTTCCTGCCGCCTAGCTCCCGGCCACCTGGCTAGATTATGCCCTGAAATAATTACACGGAAACTGTATTCTTTTAAACATTGCCTGGCCCATTATATCTAGCCTCTTCTTGGCTAACTCTCACATCTTGATTAACCCATTTTTAATAATCTGTGTAGCACCAAGAACTGATATCTTACCGGGAAAGATTCAGCATGTCTGACCTGGCAGCTGGCTCCATAGCGTCTGTCTCAGAGAGGAGAGGCATGGCGTCTGCCTTCTTCCTCCCAGCATTCTGTTCTATCTTCCCCGTCTACCTATGTTCTGACCTATCAGGCCAAGCAGTTTTCTTTATTAATC